GTTCAATCCTGGTACCAAAATGGGGCAGGGGAAGGAATCATGAATAGGGGCTGGGTGTGGTGGCATGCACTTCTCATCCTGCCAAGAGCCAAGTGCCAATGTCTCGGCTTGGCACAGAATCACGAGCCACCACACAGCTTTGTAGGTTCAATCAGCAATTCTTTATTCCCGATCTCACACCAGCCTCCACACACGTTCAGGGGCAATTCCAAAAATGTCAGATCCCAAATCCTACTCCACGAGGCTTTTTCCAAATCCCATTTTAATCTCACGAGAACTCAACGGGAACAAGCAGCAGGAACACCCTAATCCCAGCATCAATAATCTTCAACCTCAACTTCCCTAAAACTCCTATTGTCACGCCCCAAGGTCGCAGCAAATTTCCAAGGCAAGTCCATTTAACATGGGGTACACTGGCAAGGATTACGATGCGTCATACCTACTTGGTAATGGCCCTCAGCATCATCCCAGTTATTTGGAGGCTGAGGAAGGTAGATTGCAAGTTCAAGGCCAGCAGGGGCAACTTAGCAAAACATTGTCTAAAAAAAAAAAAAAAAAAGAAGAAAAAGAAAAGAAAAGAAAGACTGGGGATATAGCTCGGTGGTAGAATGCTTGCCTTGCACGCATGAAGTTCTGGATTTGATTCTGAGTATCCTAATCCCCTCAAAGAAAAATCACAAATAGGCAAATTAAAACCACCCCACAGAGGCTTTATTAGGACTCATGCTGCAGCTCAAGGGGAAGCGGCGCACACACCGACGTGGTAAATAAGAAGGGTGCCAGCTACACCAAAAGGTGAGAGCACACAGGTACCCGGTGGCCACCAGCTAACTACAGACTCCCTGTTCAGTCACTAGGGACTCCTCTGGGCCAGAGTGGGGACAGCTGAAGTGGTTGCAGAGAGTTGGGGTCGTCTGGGATGCACCCCTGGCTTGCTGCRGCCAAGCGTCCTGGAGCAGTCTCGGGCGTCTGAGGCCATCACTGCCGGCCGAAAGGCACCTGGGCAGCAGCAGCTGTCAAAATTAGAAGACAATTAAAAAGCATATCTTGGGGACTATCAGGCCCTTTTCTTCTGTCTACAACCTAAGCATAAAAATGGAAAGTTCTCCCTGGGTCTTCCTCTGAAGGCTCCCATGTCACATAAAACCACGACCAGTTAAGCCATGCTCTTCTCTTATTGACCTATCTTTCATTATACGGGTGTCCGCCATGACCCTTTAGGATGGCAAAGGAAGGGGATCATGCCCCCTCCCTGCACCCAGGCTCCCACTGCCTTCTTCCCCTTCACTGGCTTTAAATCCAGGTTCCCACGACCCATGCCTGGGGCTTGATAATTTGCTCTACTGACTCACAGTACTTGGGAGACGCTTCAAGGATGGAAGAGGTGTATATGTGCCCTCTCAGGGGAGGCCACCCCCCACTTCCTGGGAGCTCTCTGAACCTTTAGAGTTTTTTTATGGAGATTTTGTAACCTAGGCACAATTGACTAAATCAGTGGCCATGTGGTGGTGATTCTACTCCATCTCGGTCATGGGGTAGGTGTGTGTGTGTGGGTGTGTTGGTTTCCACCCTTGCAGAACACAGCCTGTGCCCTGCTCTGAGTTGCTCCCTGCTGTACAGAGGCGCAGCTCTCAGACTGTGCCAGCCCCGAGTCTGTCCACTTTATAAAGCAGCCAGTTGCCTCAAGTGACTCCATTTTGAAGGCAAGTGCTAAGGTAGGATGACTGGGTAACTTGTCTGGTTAACTAGGTAACTTGTCTGGATAACAGATGTTGGACCTACAGCACTTATGGAGAAGAATAATCCCCGTTGCATAGCAAAAAACTGATAATTATGTCCATAAAAACTGTCGCTTACCAAATTAAATCAGAGGCACATGCATGCACAGGCATGTCAAACTCCTATCAAACCCATATCAGAGAATCTGGGCCCWCAGGCTTATCAGGCACACAGACCACAGAATGACACAACCCCGTCACCTGAAATCCACAGGAAGGGTACCTAAGGCAGTGGCATGGCTGCACCCTAACCCATCTGGTCAGACCCCTGGTGAACGTACCCCAGATTGACAGGGATGAACTTCCAGCTGTTCCTGGGGTTTCATTCCCAGCTGCATCTCCCGACTTGATGTGGCCCCACTCAMAAATTCCCTGCCATCCAGACAAAAAATGTTAGGTGTGTGAGGGGATGGATTCAAAATGCTCATTGCCTGATTTAATTATTTATACTGTAAACACATATTGAAACACTGAGACTGAGGATGTAGCTCAGAGGTAAAGAGCTTGCCTAACCTGAATGAGGCCCTAGGTTCCACTCCCAGCTCTGTCAAACAAAACAAAACCCCAAACAAACAAATATAWCAGAAGCTGCTGTCCCCTTAGCTACAGACAAGACCTGGATCCCCCAGAACAGCTTAAACTTTTGCTTTAACATCACTGCTCAGGATAACAGCCCGATGCAGRAAGCTCTGAGGTCCTGTTAGTGAGCGCCATGCTTTCAGAAGAGGCCTAGATTGCCTATGGTCTTTCTGGATGACCTTGGTCCTCAGATTCCCCTTCTGTGCAATGAGGGCTTCAAGCCAGTGCTACATTTCCAAACCAACCACCTGTAGACTCAACAGAGGTTCTGATTCAGGTCTTCTCACGGAGGCCTTCCCTGGCCACACACCGAAGATGGTACAACCTGGGGCTGGGAATGTAGCTCAGTGTAGAGGACTTGTTTTGCCTCTGTAAGGCCCTGGTTCAATCCTCAGCACTGCAAAAAATAAAATAAAATTGTATACTCCTTCCTGTCTTGCTTCATGGCTTTAAGATAAAAATYACAGGGGATGTGACTGAGTGGCCAAATGCTTGTCTAGCATGTGCAAGGTCCTGAGTTCAATCCTCAACAACATGAAAATAAATAAATAAAAGACCCAAGCTGAAACTATGGCTCCAGCTCTAAAACTAAATAAAATAAATAAATAAATAAATAAAGAAAGAAAGAAAGAAAGAAAGAAAGAAACCCAAGAGGTCATTGCTTTGGACAAGGCTCCCACACTGGGTCCCAACAGACCAGATTAAAAATGAAAATGGAGTCACCCAGGCTGAAGTTCTACATGACCAAACCCAAGAAAGCTGGAAAATGAGAGAAAAGTCAAGTTTCCTAAACAGGCCAATCCTTATGACAATGAATTTTCCTCTACTGTGATTGTTATATGCTTTAATCCTTACAAAAATCATCTGAGATGATCTGAGGTTAACCAATTGGTTATTTCCTTTTTTTTTCTGTCTCCCTGTCTCCACCTTACAAAAATAACTTTGAAATGACCAGTCTACATTTTGTTCTTTGTTTTCTGCCTTTTCAGCTTGCTTCTGTCAATAAAAACCAACCTCTTCCGCTCTGCTTTTCAGAACACTTACTCTATTCTATGGAATGAAGTGTTGCCCTATTCTAGAATTGAAAATAAAGCCAGTTAAGTTCTTGAAACAGATCTTTCTATTGTACTTTTGTCCTTGGACCCAGGATTATTTTCTCTGAAGAGTCTATCTTCTGGTTTATCTGTATTTTACATTGATTSTCTCCTGCTCTGCTGATATGTAAGCTCCCTAAAGGCAAGGATTTAAAAAAAATTACCTTTTAAAAGCATTATCTTCATTGAGAAATAATCTTCATAAAACACAATTTACCAATTTTAAGTACACACTTAAATGAATTGTGACAACTGTGACCAAAACAATCAAGATACAGAATTGTTCCATTAATGCTTTCTTTTGAGATGGGGTCTGGCTATGTTGCCCAGGCTAGCTTTTAACCCCTGGGCTCAAGGGATCTTCCTCCCTCAGCCTCCCAAATAGCTGAGTAGCTGGGACTACAGACAGGCACCATCTTGCCTGGCCACGCCTGCTTTTTTTTTGAGATCTGGGAATCAAACCYAGGGCATCACACGTTAGGCAAGCACTTTACCAATGAACTACACCAACAGCTCCCTGGCTTGCTTCCCAGGTACAACCCTGTGTCTGTGCTGCTGTCAGGATTTTGAGGTTCTTCAGCTCTGAARAGAGCTGACTTCTGCCAATGGAGTCTGAGGTTTTATTTGACATTAATGGATTTCATCTCCCAGGAACCCCGGCCTTGTTTAGAGGCGGTCAGCCCTGTCACCCTCATTAGCTTAGGATTACCCGGGTTGATAATTATGGTGAGCACATTATTGCAGTCTTGCCATCCTGTGCCCTGCATCTTCTGACTTTATATGAGCCCAAGCGTCTCTCTTGCTCTTCTTGTGATTGTGCAAGAGTGAAGTGTTCCTTCGTTCATTCATAACAYGTTGATTGATGCTTTTCTGTGCTAGGCAATCAGTGTCTAGGTGCTGGATAAACATTTTTTTTTTTTAAATAGACACAGTATCTTTATTTTGATTWTTTATTTTTATGTGGTGCTAGGGAACGAACTCAGTGCCTCACACATGCAAGGCAAGTGCTCTGCCACTGAGCCACAACCCCAGCYCTGGATAAACGTTTTTGAAAAAAGATAAAACCTCTGCTTTCGAGGAACTCTCAAGGTGGGGGAAAATAACATATGTATGAACAAATACATAAAATAATCTCAGGTAGCATTAGGTTCTACGAAGAAAACACAACAGGGTAAGATGGGGAAACTAGGTCAAGTTACCATAGGAAATGAAGCCTGCTGGGTTAGAATGGGCCAGGGAAAAAGAGGCCCAAATAGGAAGAGAGACCAAATCCAGCAGAATCTTGGCGTTATCTGGTGAGGAAGTGGGTTTTAATGAAGTATAACCGAGAAGTTTTTAAGTAGGCGTGGGCTGAATTATAGACCCCTGTAGCTACTGAGTGGAGACCCCMTTGCATGGGCCAGATGGAAGGCCATTGGTCCCTTTCCTGTGTATGCAAGGCGCTGTTGAAGGGTTCCAATACCGTCGGAAGCAGAGTCATTCCGGGCCCTGCCTTTCCCGGAACTCAATTTCCGCGCCTGTAAAACGGGGACCTCGGGAATGTTCAGCGTCAGCCCCAGCAAAGCACTGCGAGCCCGCAGGAGCCCGCAGGAGCCCGCCCTGCAGGAGCAGCTGCCGGCGTCAGGGGGCGCCTCCTCGATGGCTCGGCGCTCGGCTGGCCAGGCGCCGGCGCGTCGCCGCTCGATTGGTAGGGTCGAGCGCTGCTGGCCTGCGCCATTGAGGAGCCGCGGAGAGGAAGCGCCGCGCAGTGCCGGGCGGGTGGGCGCCGGGACACAGACAGGTAGGGGCCGAGCGAGGCCGCGCCGGGCGGCGGGCAGGGCCGGGGTCGCGGGCCGGCGTCCACCCGCGGCCGGCGTCCACCCGCKGCCGGCGTTCCGGCTCCGCACAGCGCTCGGGGCCCGGGCCAGCCTCGCGGGGTGAGGACCCCGGCCGCCGGCCCTYGGCGCCGCAGCCCGGACCCCGGCTCCCGCTCCCGCCCGGCGGGACCCCACGCCCGAGGCCCCGCGGCGCCGCAGGCCGGGCAGGCTGAGCCCCCGGGCCCGCGGCGCCCGTGTCCCGCGGGGTCCGGCCCCCGCCTCCCGGCGCCCTTCCCGGGTCCCCGCAGCCCGGCGCCCGCGACCGCGGGTGTCAGTTCGCGCCTCCGCCGAGCCGTGGGCTTCACGTGCGAGCCCCGCCGAGGCCCCGGTCCGGGGCGCCAGTCAGTTTCCCGGAGCGCACGACCCCCTCCGCCCACCCCGGGCCCTCGGGGGGGCCTCGGGGCGTCCTGACCCCTGTCCCCGGGGCCGCGCCCCTCCTCCAGGCAGGGGACCCTGGGGTCATTTCCTCTAGGCTGCATCTGCGAGGTGGGGTCTGTCCCCTGGCTGGAGGCCTGCGGGGCCACCGGCCTGACCCCCGCCCCCGTCCGTCCCCCTGTCTCGGCGCTCCCTGGCGGCAGCAGCGCTCAGCCCCGGCCGCCTCGCGGAGGGACGCCGGGTCCGGTTGCCAGTCCTTCCTATTCCCGGGTCTGGTCGCCTCTCAGGGGAGGGGCCTGCCTCAAGGTCATGTCCTGCTGTCTGCCCGCGGGTGGACTGAGCCCTGATCCCCAGTGCCACCTGCCCCTTGAGGTAGGGGAAGCCAGGTGGGGGTTAATGCCAGGCAGCTGCCTAGAAGCCCTGGTGGACCAGAGTATAAACACTGTGGGATTCTGGCCAGTCTGACCGCCTTTCCTGAAACTGGATTCCTTAAGGGAATCCTTGAAGTGGCCACAAGCCCGGACTAGATGCTTAGACAAGGCTAATGGATGCTTTCTGGCGTGGGCCTCAGTTTACAGACTAGGGTGTTTTACAGCTTGTCTTTTTAATCTGTGCTTTGCGTTCTTCCTCCAGGGTAAGTAGGGTAGGGCCTAATTTTGTGAACCAAGTGACAGTGGTTTCCTTTTATTTAGAGAGCATTTGGAGTTGGCACTTAGGGAGAGTTAGCATTTAGGGCTGGAATTAATGGCAATAACAACAAAAATAAAGAGTACTCCAACTTTGGCTCCTTGTCCAAATGTATTTGGAGCTCAAATAGTAAGACTAGACAAGTCAGTTTCACTTTTTGTTTTCACAGATTCACCTGTACAAAATTCCAATAGAGAAATGTTAGATTGCTGAACTTTTTTTTTTTTTTTTTTGTGGGTACTAGAGTTGAACCAGGGGCACTCAACCACTGAGCCACATCCCCAGCCATTTTTATTTTTTATTTTGACAAGGGTCTTACTAAGTTGCTGAGGGCCTTATTAAATTGCTGAAGCTGGCTTTGAACTTGTGTGCTCCTGCCTCAGTCTTCGAAGCCTCTGGGATTACAGGCATGTGCCACTGGATTCCACCTGCTGAACATTTTTTACTTTTAAAAATTTGTTCTTGGGGCTGGGATTATGGCTCAGCGGTAGAGCATTCACCTTCTTAGTGCGAGACCCTGGTTTCCATTCTCAGCACCACATAAAAATAAATAAGTGAAATAAAGTTATTGTGTCTAACTACAACTTAAAAATAAATATTTAAAAAAATTTGTTCTTGTAGACTTTTTCGCTCTTAAGATGGCCTGCATTCTCCCTTGAATGTGTTTCTGCTTTTCTATAAACTTTTCAATAAATTGCTCTGTGCCTCTTAACAAAATAAAAACAAAAAAATTTGTTCTTGTAATTTCTTCTTTAATACCCAATAATTCCTAGCAGATTGCTAGTTGTATGTAACTGTAACCTTAAAAAGTAACTTTGGAAAGAAAGTAGGTAATTGTTTTACCAAATGCTTTTTAAAAAACTTATTGTTGAGGACTGGGGTTGTGGCTCAGCAGTAGAGTGCTTTTCTGGCATGTGTGAGTCCCTGGGTTCAATCCTCAGCACCACATGTAAATAAACAAAGTAAAACATTTATTGGCAACTAAAAAATATTTTAAAAAGAATTTAAAAAAAACCCAACTTATTGTTGACAAACAAAAGTCAGTCTTACTGGAGAGGGAGTTAACTCTTAGGAGGGCTTGTTCTGGGTCTTTGGTGGATGTCAGCCTTTCCCTTGGGGAGAGTGTATCTTCTGGCCCTAGGATGAATCACTAGGGGTGGGACACAGTGCTTGGAAAGAATCCTAAAAGTAGGCTGGCTCCAAGTGGGATGCATGCTGTAGAGAATCTGGAGTGTGACAAGGTGGCTCATGACAGCCTGGGGAGTTCAGAGCAAGATTTGCAGCCCATGGTTGTAGATGGGATCTGTGAACTGAGCGATCTGAGAACCCATTTAAACTTTTGTGTCTCAATTTTCCTCCTGTTGACTTTTTGTGTTAAAATCAAGTATATTTGTAATGCTGATAAATACCAGTAATATGCAGTATTACTTCAGTACTGAATCTTGGTACTGTAGCTGCAACCAGAGGATTTCTGGTGTTTGTCATTATTGACTAAGATAATCCATTGTGTCAGCAGCATCTGGTGCCTAGGTACCAGTCAAGCAGTCACAGTGCATTTAAGATTAGTGATAAAGCACTGTCTAATCTCTCCTATTTATATGATTTTATGAATGATCTTCAAGAATATGTGAGCACAATTTAATTATGGTAGTTTTAACGAGGATCTTTGCAGAATATGAATTTCATTTATACAATCTCCCAGGGCATTTTTGCCTTAATCTGGATTAAGGTTTCTCAGCATTGGCTCTGTTGACATTTGGGCTGAATAATTCTTGCTGTGAGGGGTGGTTTTGTGATTGTAGGATGTTTAGCAGCTTCTGTGGTCTCTATCATAGAGATTGGTAGCAGGCTCTGAAGGCATGATAATCAAATATGTCCTCAAGCTTTACATGATGATGCATGCCTGTAATCCTAACTACCTTGGGAGGCTGAGGAAAGAGGATTGCAAGTTTGAGTCCAGACTTGGCTTTTTTTGCAAAGCCCTAAGCAACTTTGCAAATCCCTGTCTCAAAGTAAAAAACAAAACAAAACAACAACAACAACAACAAAAGCAAACAAACAAGAAGGGATCTAGCTAGTGGTAAAGTGCCCCTGGGTTCAGTTCCCAATAATGAACAAATGAAAAGTCCCGCACATCTTAAGATATTGCCAGATCCCAGCCATATGAGAACCTCTGATTAGGGCAATCTAATTAATCTCAAGGTGGCTCCTCCAAAAGCCAGCAGGTCACTGAGCAGTTACATTGCAAAGATACACAGCTTTGAACTGTGGAAAGTTTAAGTAAATTTACAAGAATGGCTGTCCTTGTGGCTGCATGAGAATGGAACTGGGCTGGCATGACCACCTGTGCCTGACAGGGAACCTAGAGCTTTCCCACCTGGTCCCCATCACTTTGAGCTGTGCTTTGCATTCATGCACATTCAGGGAAGTCAAATAAGGAATCAGCTTAGAAAATCATCCATTGTTTTTTCTTTGTTGATTTTCTTTCTTTTTTTTTTTTTTCTTTTTTCTTTCGCAGATTCTTCCGTAACCATGAGAGAAAGAGAAAGTATGATCCATGATTTTTAAGCACTTTTTTCTGAGGACATAGTCATGTTGGAAGGTCTTGTAGCCTGGGTTCTCAATACCTATTTGGGGAAATATGTCAATAACCTGAACACTGATCAGCTCTCAGTTGCGCTTCTCAAAGGTGAGTACTGTGTTTTTTTGTTTGGTAAAGTATGGCTTTGCAGATGGCATTTCTGTGTGTGTGTGTGTATATATATCCCTCTCTCTCTATATATAGTATTGAGGATAATAAAACCTAATGCTCACATGGCTTTGTACTAAATATGTGTAAAAGAGAATATATTCTCCCATGTGACTGATGACTATTATGGGGTAACTTAAGTATGCTGTATTGATGCAGTTTTAGGGCTTTTTTTTGGGGGGGAGGTGATGGGGATTGAACTCAGGAGCACTTGACTACTGAGCCACATCCCCAGCCCTATCTTATATTTTATTTAGAGACAGGGTCTCAGTGAGTTGCTTAGCATCTTTCTTTAGCCAAGGCTGGCTTTGAACTCGTGATCCTCCTGCCTCAGTCCCCCAAGCTGCTGGGATTATGGGCGTGCACCCCAATTAGGGTTTAGGGTTTCATTAAAATTTTTAAAAAGACAAACTATATTACTAGTGATGAGCTTCACTTAGTTATATTTTTAGCTTTGTGAGGCTACAAGTAGTGATAGTGGCATTGACTTTGGCTTTAAGTACAGTTTTGTCACTTCTAAGCTATAAGAACAATAACTGATATTGAAATAGCTAATAATGAAATTCTGTGCCTTAGTTTCTTGAGAAAAGAAGATGATATACCTCTATAAGGTTGCTCTGAGGATCAGTGAAGTAAGATTGAAATCTCTTGGCCTCCTGCCATGTAGCAGACACCTACTAGAAGTGTCAGAATATGCTACTGTGAGACTCGCCTTGCTTAGTAGCCTGGCACCTAAAGCTTGAGGCATTTTAGCCTTTACTGGCCTATATTAGTAAATGCAGTCTTGTCATTTGGTGTGGGGAATTAGAAAGCAGCATTTTCCTCTTTTCATTGTTTTAATTTAAATTCTCTTTGCCTAACTTGAGATGGAACCCTTTAATATATGTAGAGAAAGAAGGTAAAGTCAGTCTTCAAGGATGCAGAATCAGAGAAGGTGGAAAGGTCTTAAACAGCAATGGAGACCCAGCTTCCTGGGGGTTTGTTTTGGCCAGTGGACAAGGACAGGTTAGTAGAGATAGCAGAGATCAGGTCTTTGCAGAGTCTGAGAGGATATCAATGCTTCCCCTGTTCCCAAAATGTGTTGCTTTCCAAGAATTGTTATTATTATTTTTGGTATTGGGCACTAATCTCAGGTTTGCTTTACCACTGAGTTGTATCACAGTCCTTTTTAAAATTTTTATTTTGAGACAGGGTCTTGCTAAATTGCTGGGGCCTCATTGAGTTGCTAAGGCTGGCCTTGAACTTGTGGTCCCCCTGCCTCATCTTCCTGAATGGCTGGGATTACAGATGTGTTCCATCATGCCTGACACTTTCTAAGAATTTCTGGTCCTTTTAGTCCAAGCAAATGATGTGGCAGAAGATTGTGGGAGCTATCACAGTTGTTCCTCCCCACATCTCCTCTTCGTTGGAAACAGAAGTGGATTTCTCCTGTTCTCTTGTCTTTAGAAGGAAGCTGCCAAGAGGAAAGTGAGGATGATTTAAAGGGCAGTACAGTGTCAGGTGCAGTGTCAGATACACCTCTTGGGTCACTTACTGAAGTTTGCAGAAACACTGTGAAGCTAACTAAGTTGTGTGAGGTACAGGTAGGAGACCTAGAAAGAGAACTGCAGACCAAACCTTGCTAATAAAAGAGCTGATTTTCTCGGGGCTGGGGTGTGGCTCAGAGGA